CAGGACTACGTTCAAAATATACGATCCAGACGTTAGAGTGAACAGTTGTACTCGAAGCGTAGGTTTGGAAAGGAGCTCCCCGCTAGCGGTTGTCAACAAAATGGCCGATGGAACATTACCCTGCCCCTCGACCCGCGCGGGGGGAGTTGTGTACATGTTTACCACATAGAGGTATAAGAATAGAGTAGGAGAGATATAGACTCTACTATAAGTAGAAGTGTCCCTCTAATCAATCATAATCAAAATCATTTATTCAGTTTAGGCTGTTACAAGCACTCATGAATGTCTAGAAGCTACGCCATCGGTTCGTAAATCTACGGCGGGAGACCTTGTGCTGAGAAGAATCGGTAAGAAACTCAGCAAGGGCTGTTTTTTTCTCCCTGTTTTATTATTTACAGAGTCGTCAAATTGAAAAATGACTTCAGAGATGATTCATGAAGTCACCTTTCATTACATAATTATTAAATATACATTAATTGTTTACCTGCTTTTTGATTGCTGTGTCATACAGTATAAATACAAATAGAAAGAGAAAGAAGATGAGAGACCGCTAGCTTTCTCTCGCTACTCGCGCATGCGCATCGGCAACCGTAATCATCTTACTATTTCGATGTGATGCTTGGACCAACTATTGGACAGACGACTGCGGATGCGTCACAAGAGAGAGAGATAGCTAGCGGTCTCTCATCTTCTTTCTCTTTCTATTAGTCGGACACTTTTAAAGCCGCCTTCCCCACTCTATTCTTATACCTCTATGGTTTACCATCGCGCTCCGACAACTCCTAGCTAGAGCCGAGGTTCGAGTCTCAGAGACGGCCTCTAGTTGAGTCGACCCCCTCAGGTTCGAGTGGTCTAGAGGCTCCAGACTCCCCCCGTGGACCATCCGCCTGGAATACCTCTAGAGGCACTCGCCAATTCTCGACTTCAGGTCCTCTTAGGATCTCGCCGTCCCCAAACACGGTGACGCTGTAAAGGTCATCTGCGACCAACAGCATACACACTCAAAAAAAAATCGGAAATCAAATACATTTTTGATACGCACAAAGATGTGTAGTGAAACAAAGTTTTGTGTAAACAAAACAATTTTGTTGAATGATAATATGTTTTGTGGATTTTGTAGGGCTAAACACGCACTGGAGACCTGGCTATACATCAATAAAAGAAAGGTTTCAATAGAAATATATTGCGTATTGGAAGCAACGATATTAAATACCCTAGATACACCACGAGCGCTCAAATTGTGTCCCAACCAAGAAGTGCTTGAACTCCACTCAAGCACTTCTTGGTTCACAATCACGCGCGGACCGTTACAAAGTCAAGATGCCACAGAGCTCCGCGAAAAAATACGAAAACAATACTTAGAGTAATAAAAGTGTCGTTTTTTCGACAGGTATCTTGTCAATGTTTGTTAATTTAACGCATTTGAAGCAAATTTTGATGTAATACTTACTATAAACTGATTTAATATAAAACATTTGTGATATTCAAATGCATGGTCGGTTATACGTCGCCATATAGCCGTCTCTTTTCCTCGCCGGCCCGTGCCTGCTATATTGCTAACAGCGCGTTCAGAATTGCGCGTAGAGTAAAAGAACTAAGGTCTAAATTCTTCCGCATATAGCAAATAAGTCGTAAAATTTTACGAGCTTGCATTTCGAACTGTCAGAAGTCCTTGACGCATGCGTTTTATTTAAGAACTTATACAGTATGTATTAAAGTTTACGTTCAATATTTAAATAATGCCTTTTATTGATTTTGACTACGCGATCATCTTACCCAGCTCCGTGGATCGTTCAATGTACCTTTAGGACAGGTTTCAGGCACGATTTTGTTCGTGTTGGTGTATCTAGGGTATTTAATATCGTTGATTGGAAGCTATAAATTGTTTAATTAGAAGCATGATAAAACAAATACGTAGCCGTTATTAAGAGCGTATATAGCTTCTGGGGCTCCACGGGGATTGGATTCAGTACCTTTAGCACGAACCAATATCGAATTCGTTACATTTGCGAGTGCAAATGGTTACCAATTGTATGGAAACTTAATCAACATCGCCACAACGGACGTAACAAGAATGAAAAATCGTAAGACATTTGACGCATGTCGTGATCGAATTCGATTATTCGGATGCTATAATGGTTCGTGCTTAGGGTACAGAACGACAAGGTGAAGATAGCTGGAGAGATGATGTAATTTTCTGCCACATCATAACATTTTCGCGTCTGGACTCCAGTTATACTTAACTGCAGGTGGGGTGGGGGTAATTGGCTACGCCACGTAAATATAATTATGTTATATATATAATTATATTTTGTAAGCATAACTAGATGTTTATCTACAGAAAATTTTACTAGACAAATTCCACGCGAGCCAAGCAGCAGACGGCACTCGAACCCGCACCCTTTACTATCTGGGCGGATGCACAGACCATTATGCTACCGCGGCCCTTATTGTCCTTGTCGAATTTTCTTTACTATTTCTTAGGCTTCAAGGCAGCGCCATCTAATGTGAAATGAATATCTTTAAGTATGAAACATTTGAAAGAAGAAATAGCAATTATAGCTATATTTTTATTCCCGTCTGCTGCTTGGTCTTCGTAATTTATTCTAGTAAAATTTTCTTTTAATAATTTTGTATACGAAAACACATTACGTTTATGCAGTTATTAGCGCGTTTGGTCAATGGCCGTGGAAATTAAGCAATTTCCCCAATGGTTGGCTATAGGGCCAAATATTGTAATCTCGAGCTTTTAAGTGTTTCGCAAGGCATGTTAAACCATTAATTCTGGCTGCATCTACAGTCTTCAGTACCACAGAATACAGAAGGAGGTTAGACGGGCTTTTTGGGCGGAGCATGCGCGCCACAGTGATGTGTGAGCAAATCATGATAATGACAAATACAACCATGAACACAAAACGAAATCCACAAATATATAAGCATTTAATTTTAACTTAAAGTTAAAATCGAAATGCGCATTGTCTGTTATTTGTGATGCAGATGATGGTAAATATGATGGTAAATTTAATGGTAATATTTTGCATAATAAAATAAAATGATTATGAATTAAGCTAAAATAATGATGAACTCGTTCAGACTTCCTGCTTCATAGTTATTTTCAATACATTAACTCAAAAATGCATTTACGGAAATTGTATACATTGTTCGAAAGTTATAGATTACGGACAACGGAGCGTGAGGTAAAACGTTTTACCGCACACTCCCATACATGGCGACGTTCGTATCCTTTATTTATTTATTTATTTAATTAATTGCACATGTACAGTATATACAGGATCTTAAAATTATTTTGGCATGGTACATGACCCTGTCAGGGTGTTGCAAGTACAATAACTATATCACCACAACTACTAAACAGTTTCAATATCAAACAAGTTAGTGAGCTTTCCGTGACAGTTTCACTTATCATTCATAAATTCATTTACCGAACAGTATGCTTTCTTGATTAGATGTTGTTTGAGTTTCATTTTAAATGTATTTATGTTGCTTTCTCTTTTAATTAACAGTTTACAGTTTTTTTAATTTCGGTGGAATCTCTTTTGAAGCTAACTTTAGATAGATAAATAGATAAACACTTTATTATAACACCAAATACCTAACTACATTAACCATCAATAAACTAAACAAAAGCATTATAATTGGCGGTCTTTTCGCTAAAAGCGATTTCTTCCAGACAACCGTCAGTACAAAAAGTAATACAGAGACTATAGTTTGGGGTGCTATATGGCTTGGATATACTCTATACCACTTTAATACTAAAAAGAGACAAGATGCCGGTATAACGTTTTACCGCACGCTCCGTTGAATCGCCCGTAATTTCGAATTTTTCGAACAATGTATACAAGCTACGTTATTGCACTGTTTGAGCAAAAGTGTTGAAAATGTTATTAGCTTCACCACATTATTTTTATTCAGATGAAAACCATCATGATGGTTGGTGAAATCGGCATGCGAACAATTATTTCATCAATACAGCTATGAATTATTGGTGTGGTGAAGTTTCTCTTATCTATTAGACAAGTCCGTCCGTCCGTGGTGCTGTTTCAGCGGCCAAACCGTAAGAGATAGATAAAGAGAATATTTAAGTTATAAGTTAAGAATAGTCTGATAAGACTACAAACCGGATTTCAGTAACGTAGCACTTCCGGTTTTCGAGAAATCAGGTTTTGGTGAACATTTGGTTCACTGGTTTGCTAGTTTGATTTAATGCACAATTATGACAGGTGAAGCGGAGTCATGAACAATTGACATAACAATTATAAGTATTTGCTATGATAGTTTAGTTACCGTAAACCTTTAAAGGCCAATAGAAACACAAATACAATGTATTTGTCAATCAATGTCATGATAAAGCAGTAGTAACAAAACAGTGCATGTGCACTTCAATTCGAAATTCAACACGGCCTTTTCATCCTTTCTAAAATAACTTTTATTTAAAGAAAATAATACTAGAAAAAATGCTTCCTTGCAGCTTAAGAAAGGCTAGAAAGAATTCGACACGGCCATCAGGGCCGCGGTAGTATAATGATCAGTGTATTCGCCCGGATAGGGTGCAGGTTCAAGTCCGGTCTGCTGCCTGGTCCACGTGAAATTTTTTCTAGTAATATTTTCTTTAGATTTCATCAATATATCATAGAAACAGCGAGCAGTTACATGCTTTAAAAAAAACGAGTGTGCTTATGAGCACACGACTGAAGTGAAACTTCTTTAGCTCCATCCGTGTGTATGTACAATATAGATATATATGTACATATACATATTTCATTTACTAGCATAAGAGAAAGAGAGAAAGAAAATGAGCGCACGCACTGCTTTCTCTTGCTTATATCACTCAACTCCCGTTCGCCTCGCCCGAACACACTTTTCGTAACGCGTAGCGCATTCGCCAGCTTATCCCCTAAGTCAAGCGTGCGTAAAGAAGTTTCACTTCAAAATAAAAATAATAATTCAGGGTTATATTTTTATTTGGGTTATTGACTCACCTCTCGAGTCGGATCGCACCAGTTCAGAAAGCCTGGCCATCAGTATAGCCATACGCTTAGCAGCCGCGATGATTTCGTTGTCCTTGGAAGACCATTCACGTACAGCTTTGTGAAGATTGTGAGCAGCCACCTGGGTTGTCAAGTCCCATGTTAATGATGATGTACATATATAACATTAAATACATGTTATTTTAAGAGAGATAGGGCATAGCGGATTTTCCCGTTTTGGGGAAGTAACTTCCACCTTATAGAAGACCACAGTGAAATAATTAGAAATATACCTTTGAGCAACGATATTAAATACCCTAGATACTCCATGAGCGCTGAAAATGTGTCCCAATCAAGAAGTGCTTGAACTCCACTCAAGCACTTCGTGGTTCACAGTCACGCGCGGACCGTTGAAAAATCAAGATGCCGCAGAGCTCCGTGAAAAAATGCGAAATAAATACTTATATTACGTAAATCGTCGTTTTTTCAACAGGTATCTAAACAGTGTTTGTTAATTTAACGCATTTGAAGCAAATTTTGTTCTAATATTTACTATAAACTGATTTAATATAAAATATTTGTGATATTCAAATGCATGTACAGTTATACGTCGCCGTATAGCCGGCTCTTTTCCTCGCGGTCCATACCCGCTGTAATCCTAATAGCGCATTTAGAATTGCACGTAGAAGTAAAATAAATAAGGTCTATATTCTTCCGCATATTTCGAACTGTCATAATTATACAGTATGCGTTAAAGGTGACTTTCAATGTTTAAATAATGCCTTATTTTGTTTTTGACTACGCGATCATCTTACGGAGCTCCGCGAATCGTCCAATGTACCTATTGGACAGGTTTCGGTCAAGATTTTGTTCGTGTTGGTGTATCTAGGGTATTTAATATCGTTGCCTTTGAGTGGTGTCTAAAGTTGCGATATTTATCAATTATAGTTGTAGACTTTTTGAACCTTAACAAAGAGTAATGAAAGAAACAAAGTGACTCAACAGAATACCTGCCACTACCGTCAACGATATTTAATACCCTAGATACAACATCACGAACAAACTTGTGACCGAAAAATAAAGTCTAAATTTTCAAAGCATGCATCAATGAGTTATTACAGTTCGAAATGCAAGCTCGTAAAAATTAACGACTTGGAGCTATAGGCGGAACAATATAGACTTTATTTCTATGACTCTATATCGTTATTCTGAATGCGCTGTTAGCAATATAGCAAGTACGGAGCGTAAGGGAAAGACACTGGTTATACAAACGACTATGCATTTAAATATCACAAATATTCTCTGTATTAAATCTCTATTACCATATGCAAAGACATCGAGGAGCACTCTATCAAGTACCAAAAGCATGATCTGTTCAAGAAGGTACGCATCCTCTGTAGCGAATTTAAGCCTAAAGCATGGGTCATTGAAGATAAAGACGGGAACCCCATACATGAGAGAGAATGCGTTGTGGATAGATGGCGCGAATACTGTGAGGCACTGTACCAGGACAGCACCACTTACCCGGAAGATAGGAACGAAGGTCACAATCTCATCCTTGAACCATCTATTCTACGCTCAGAGATAGTAGCAGCCATTAACCTACTAAAGAGCAGGAAGGCACCTGGCCCGGATCAAATCACGGCTGAGGTTCTGCAAGCTTTGGGCGACAGGGGTGTACAAGTTTTGCATAGAATCTGCAATTATGTCTGGACACACGGGAAATGGCCAAATGACTGGGCCGAGTCGATCATAATGCCACTGCATAAACAGGGGTCCACCAGGATATGTATATAACTACCGGACTCTGGCTCTTATGTCTCACGGAAGCAAAATTCTCCTGCACATCCTAAACAACAGGATCCGTCATTATTTGGATTGGCAAATTCCACCCGAAGAAGCTGGCTCCGTAAAGGGAAAGGGTACAAGAGAACAAATCCTCAACGTCAGACAACTCATTGAGAAATCCCACGAATTTAACACCCCCTTGGTCCTGTGCTTTGTCGACTATAGCAAGGCTTTCGACTGCGTTAATTGGAACAGCCTATGGAACGTGATATCTAACCTCGGCGTACCTCAACATCTTGTCTCGCTCCTTCGATCACTATATACCAATAACCGTGGAGTTGTGAAGGGGGACCAAACGTTTTCAAAACCGTTTAAATTTGGTAAAGGAGTGAGCCAGGGATGTATCCTGTCTCCCATTCTCTTCAACGCTTATGCAATGCAACGCAATATATGGACAGCTTTGTGTACCTTGCTCTACTATATGTAGCGATGGCTCATGCGAACCGGATGTTCGGAAGCGGATTGGTATGGCAAAAAGCGCGATGACCCGGCTAGGCAGGATCTGGACAGATAGATCGATCTCACAAAAGGCCAAGATTGGCCTGGTGAGAACTCTGGTGTTCTCCATATTCACCTACGGTGCGGAAACATGGACCCTTAAGAAGGCAGACAGATCTCGTATTGACGCATTTGAGATGTGGTGCTGGAGGAGAATGTTACGAGTTCCGTGGACAGCCCACCGCATAAATGCGTCAATTCTTAAAGAAGTGGGAGTCACCGTTAGGCTGTCCAAATTCTGTTTGCGTAGGATCCTCGAATTCTTCGGTCACATAGCTAGGAAGAAAATCGATACCCTGGAAGTGCTCCTGGTGACAGGAAAAGTACAGGGAAGGCGACCAAGAGGAAGAATCCCATGCGCTGGACAGACCAGATCCGCGACAATACCAAAACTGGAGTCCGCGATGCACTCCACACTGCTGAAGACCGCAACAAGTGGAAAGCGATCGTCCACAAAATAACTCGTAGAGGTCACGACCCTCAGCAATGAGGAGCACCACATAAGGAGGAGGAAATCTCTATTAAAACAGTAAGTATTAGAATCAAATCTGTTTTGAATGTGTTAAATTAACAAAGTTTAATTAGATATCTATCGAAAAACGACACTACGTATTATAAGTATTTTTTTCGCATTCTTTCACAAAGCTCTGTCGTATCTGGGGTCAATTGCCTAACGGGATTGCTATGGATGTCTGTTTTCGTTTCAATACAAATAAACAGTGTTAAAAATCTATCATTAAATCTTTAGGTTAATTTTCACCAAAATGGACATAGAAACATATTTTACAGTTACGAAAACTGTAATAGTTTTCGTGAGCTCAAACTCGCACTAAGGGTACCGAACTGAACAAACGAAACGATCTACCAGTACTGGATGTTGTTCCGAAAATAATCCCGCCATTTCCACCTAAAACAAACTTAGCATCGACTCACCAATATAGGCTGGCTCGGGTGCGGCTGGCTGCTGAATATATCCTCCCCCTCGTCGTCAGTATCGGGCGGGGGAGGGCGGGGCGGGGCGGCGTGTAGGGCGGAGGCGTGGGCGGGCGCTGGTTGGGGCGGGGGCGGGCGGGGCGGCGCCACGTGCAGGCGGCTGAGCGCGTCGGGCAGCAGCGGGGGCGGGGGAGGGGGAGGCGCGTAGTGCTGACCCAGCGCCGCCTCCACTTGTCCGGCGGCTGAGATTATCTGCGGGAGAAAACATTTTTAGAAGAGGTTTTTGAAGTTATACTTCTTTAGGCGCGTTATGAAAAAATGATGAGAGTGAAATTTTAAGATGCGCGCGCATCACTGTAAGACAAAATTTTAACAGCATGCATCGCTAAAGCGACCAACTTCATGCGTTACTTTTGTGTTTACCGCACATTAAGAAAATCTACCAACAAAATAGAAATAGAATCTCTATTGTGAAGGCATATCAAAAGTATTTATTAATTTGGAACAACGGAACCAAAGCGCGATTCAGGAGACTACAGCGCCATCTCTTGACCATTGGTGTAGTAGAACCAAAAACCACATCTTTATTTTTTGTAATAAAGTAACAGATAAAGATATTCATATTTATAATATTTATCCACATGTTTCTAGTTTGTATATTCGGAATACGTGCTTGAGTTTCATACAAGTGCAAATCACATATGTTCTAATAAATTATATTCAGTAGCGATTTTAATTGAATATTTTGATTATTTATTTATTTTTTCAAATTACTTTTTATTAATTTATTGTAATTAATTATTTGCATGCAATTAAAAACTAATTTTAAACGATGCCAAAGAAGGATAACTTCTCACGCGCCTACATAAGTACACGCACCCATTTTTTAAAATGTGGTATTAAAAATACATACAACCCTAAATTTTCTCTTCCACCACCTGCCCCTATTTCTATGGCGGTACGAAGTTCGCCAGTTCGTGAGCTAGTTAAATATTTAATCATAACTTAACGAAGGTTAAATTTCTATTGTATACGAGTGACAGAGAGAGTATTACAATTATACTGGTCATATTTTCATGTTTTGTATTTCGTTTCAAAAAGAATGAATCTTAAATTGGTAAAATTATTTCATCGCGATTTCACGTATGTGGCGCATGATTGGCCTGATTGACATTTGAAATAATAATTGAGTTATCATTATAAACTAAAGATGACAACTCACCATCACCATGTCAAATTTATAGTCTGTGGTAGCTGCGACAGGCTAAAAATATGACGTGACTTATGACTGTGAAGCTATAATCCTTATGAAATTGTTAAATATTCAAACGCAAATTAAAATGAATCGGGGTTAATTAAAATAATAGTATTATCTGTTTTATTGAAGTGAAAACTTCTTTAGCGGCGTTGTGCACCTTTTTTGTATGGATAAAAAATGTTAAACTCGCGTCAGGTTAAACACGTGGGCTGATCGCATCGTGACACACAATAAAATTGGAAAGGTTGTTGACTTTCAATATATTGGACGAAACATAGTAATATTTTATTTTATCGTATTATAATAATAAGACTATCTAGGACGTCCACATGGCAGCTTTATTGCGAAGACAACAATAGATGTCGCTAGGTGCGCTTAAACGTGATTCATGTAAGTTGATTTTTCTGAGAGACAAACATTTTTAATGTAATATAAATTGTCATGTCTGTGTACGATAACGAAATAAATAAATATTGTATTCTACCACATACATGATAGTACTTCTATACTGATAATTAAAGCAATTCGTGCAAAATTTAACCATTCCCAAATATCAAAAATGGACAACATTAATATTCAAGTTTTCACTTCTGCCGGCACTCCCGGAGTGCAACCCGTCGTTTTTTTATGCATAATAAATAGGCAAGGCGTTTGACCAATCTCGCCTGATGGAAAGCGATGATGAGACCTAGGATGGTACACGCCTGGTCCCTCTATTGTGAAGTCGCGGTTTTAGCTTCCAAAGCGACGGCTTTAGCGCGATGAACAGCGGGTGGAATGACGGCCTGCAGGCCTACATCGCGCTAGCATAATTCGCAAAACAATCATATATAGAGCGCGACCAACATCTTTAGATAGAGTTTGACGAGGATATACCCATAAAGGGTAGTATAAGCAAAAAGAAAGTAACCTTTTTGCAATTTATGTCAAAATATACAACAGATTGCCATTGTTTAAAAAAAAGTAAGTTGTCCGACTGAGTTTAAAAACAAATTGAAAAAGCTCCTTTGCTCTAAAGGCACTATACACTGCAAGAGTATTTTAATGACAAGGAATTAAAATCACGTTTGTCAGTAGTTTAATGTGATACAATATTTAATTTATTTATCACAATTCAAATGACATGGAATTTTGTTAATTTTGATTTTTTCTGATGTGATTTAAAGGACATGGCTAAGAAACTGCCTAACGTGTATAAATATTTCGCAGTAGCCCGTAACTTTACAATATATTTTTATTAATTATTACGTGTTTATTATTTTCATACAACTCGTGTAATAATCAAATATTTAAAAGTATAAAAATTGACTTCATGACTGTTTCAAAAGCATAATGTTCTGCTTTACAAAATAAATGAAGAATAAATGTACACAAATCATATTTGTGTAAGTGTATCGAAATAAACAATATTATTTCTAAACTCCATCAAAGTATGACATATTTGGCCCTAATTTTTATTATAACAAATCACTGAAGGCCTAAAATAATAGATTTTATTATTCTGATCAGGCTTGAGACCAGGCTGTATGATAATTAATCCTTTAATTTTTGCAAATGGATAAAATAAAACTTCACAGATTTCCTGCCAGGCCGACAATAACAAATTATTTGTTTTTTTATGCTTTAAAAAACTTTTTGTGAAGAGTTAATCAGAGAAATAGGAAGAAAGATTCTAAGAAAATGCGATATTGATAACTCTGTAAATAATTGTCAACATCTTTTATCAACTGTAGTATGGTAATGACATAGTAGAAGTTTTCATAATTTTCAAGATTGTGACTTCAATCAAAAGTTCCTGAGCCTTTTTTCATAGAAATTATAAATATTCAGCCATTTACCATTAAATATTACTAAGTACAGTATTTATACATTGCCAGGGCGGTCGCTCATACAAAACTTTACCATGTCCTTTATATTTAATTATTTATAAAAAAATAAACAAGCTCTCTAAAGCACATTGCTATGCCTTAACCGCGTTCGTGTAAGGATCTCAATAAATGCTTTGTAACAACACAGTACACCTATATCGACGACCTCCGTGGCCGAGTGGTTTGTACGCCGGGTTTAATGGTGTCGCCGACTCGAGAGGTCCCGGGTTCGAATCCCGGTGGGGGCAGATGTTTGTGTGATGAATACGAGCATTTGTACTCGAGTCATGGATGTTTAATATGTATTTCTTTATAAATATACTTATATATGTACAGTATATGTATTCTATCAGTTAGAATAGTATCCCATAACACAAGCCTTATAGTGCTTACTTTGGGGCTAGGCTAATTGGTGTGAGTGTCGGAAATATTTATTTATTTATTATTTATTATATAAAAAGGCAATTACATTATTATCATTATCTCATTTATTTTATGTCAGTTAGATTTTTCATAAAATAGATATAAAAGTAAAATACAAAACCGTTAATAAAAAAATAATTATAGAATAAAAACTTAGAGCTAGAGAGGAGGAGCTCGATGGCGCAAGTGGTTAGCGCGTTCGGCTGCGATCGTTGAACTTAAGCAATTTTCACAGTGGTCGGTCATTGGATGGGTGACCAAAAATTACTATCTCGAGCTCCTCCGTGCTTCAGAAGGCACGTTAAGCCGTTGGTCCCGGCTGCATCTGCAGTCGTTAGCACCCGTCAATCCGCACTGGGAACGCATGGTGGGTCATGGCCCAATCTCCCTATTCCATCCATAGGGAAGGCCTGTGCCCCAGCAGTCCCCAGTGGGGATATTAATTGTCTGATGATGATGATGATGATGATGATAAAAAAAAACCTAACCTAGAAGGCCACGAGCAGCGGAGCTAGGCCCAAGCTACCGGTGGCTAGGGACGCAGAGAAAGAAACCGCCTGACGATGTGCGCTGTGTTATTATTATTATCTCTTATCTATTAGACAAGTCCGTCCGTCCGTCCGTCTGTCTGTGGTGCTGTTTTAAGCGGCCAAACCGTAGGAGATAGATAAAGAGAATATTTAAGTTATAAGTTAAGAATAGTCTGATAAGACTACAAACAATTTGAGTAACGTAGCACTTCCGGTTTTCGAGATATCAGGTTTTGGTGAACATTTGGTTCACTGGTTTGCTAGTTTTATTATAAGCCCCAAAATCTTCTTTGTGAAAAGTTCGATACCACAAGTAATTATACCGTTAAATCTGCGCAATCTGCGCATTGACGACCTCTGTGGTCGAGTGGTTTGTACGCCGGGTTTCATGGTGTCGCCGACTCGAGAGGTTCCGAGTTCGAATCCCGGTGGGGGCAGATGTTTGTGTGATGAATACGAGCATTTGTACTCCAGTCATGGATGTTTAATATGTATATATATATATCAATATACTTATATATGTACAGTATATGTATTCTATCCGTTACCCTAGCATCCCATAACACAAGTCTTACAGTGCTTACTTTGCGGCTAGGCTAATTGGTGCGAGTGTTGGAAATATTTATTTTCATCATCAGCCTATTAATGTCCTCACTGCTGGGCACAGGCCTTCCTATGGATGGAATAGGGAGATTGGGCCATGACCCACCACGCGGACCCAGTGCGGATTGGCGGGTGCTAACGACTGCAAATGCAGCCGGGACCAACTGCTTATCGTGCCTTCCGAAGCACGGAGGAACTCGAGATAGTAAATTTTTGGTCACCCATCCAATGACCGACCACTGCGAAAGTTGCTTAACTTCAAAGATCGCAGCCGAACGCGCTAACCACTTGCGCCATCGGGCTCGAGAATATTTATTAATTATTATTTAATCGTGAAAGGCAAATTTCGCAATGGCTGGTTATTGGATAAATCATCTTACCTCTTTATTAGCAGCTCTCCATTGTGGAGCCGCAGCTTTATCTCCCAAAGCGACAGCCTTAGCGCGATGTACAGCGGGCGGAATGGCCGCTTGTAAGCGTTGGTGAGCGGTGCCGAGCGAACGAGCGAAATCCGCGTCTTCTGTGTTATCGCGCTCAGCCCCGCCTACTAAGAGTACGCGATTCGCTAACCTGGTAAATAATACAAGGGCAATAGAACGAGATTGAACATTGTAATGTTCTATTGTGACCTAACTATAATAAATATGCGGTTAGCCCAGCCATAATAACAGACTAAGTGATTAAAACAAATAATAGGGGAGCCCAAGAGGGGATTTGGGGATTTACTCGAGCGCGGCAGATTAATATATGGGAAGATACCTTACATCTAGTTGAGTACCTCTACCAAATCTGAGTTCTCCATGTAGTGCCGCGCGCGTAGACCAGTCTATCAGAATAGTTAAAAAATCGATATCGTCAGATTATTGAAATACACACTTTTCAACATGTAATTAAACCAACACACCTTAATCTGACGCGCTCGAATAATTTTTTCCCCCATTTGGCTAGTCCCACCATGCAAACCGGCAGATTAACATTCTTCCGTCATCAGAGACACAAGGGGCATATACAATATCAATATCTGACGCGCTCGAGTATTTCCAAGTGACTATTTTTTTTTTACATTTTTGAAAGCGACTAGACGCTTGGTCCACCGGTGAAAGGGTATATACATCATTTAACCTTTTTTTCTTTCTACCATCTGATCTTTAAAATTCAATAAGTCTCCATGACGCTCGAGTAAATCCCCATTTAGCACTGTGGGCTCCCCTACTAAAAGCTTCAAATAAATTTCATAAAATGATATAACACAAATTACGATGACATTACGATGTATTCGTCATTCCTATTAGTATCGTATTAGCCGTATTGTTGCATCCCTAATTCAAAATATTAATCAACATATAATTATAATAAGTACACGGGAAATGCTAAATCAATAGCGATAAATTTATGTAATTATTTTCGAACATGGAAGCCGTCCATCTGGCTACTTTATATTTTGTGCTAATGCCAACGATATTGAATACCCTAGATACACCAACACGAACAAAATCATGCCCGTAACCTGTCCACAAGGTACATTGGACGATCAACGGAGCTAATAACAATAAACATTGAAAATCACCTTTAATGCAAACTGTATAAGGTCTTAATAAAAACGCATGCGTTAAAGAGCTATTACAGTTTGAAACCCAAGCTCGTAAAATTTTACAACTTATTACTACATGCGGAAGAATATAGACTCTATTTCTTTGACTCTACGCGCAATTCTGAATGCGCTGTTAGCAATATAGCAGGTACGGACCGCGAGGAAAAGAGACGGCTATATTACCGACCATGCATTTGAATATCACAAATATTTTCTATTTTATCAGTTTCTAGCAAGTTTTAAAACAAAATTTACTTCAAACGCGTTAAATTAATAAACATTGATTAGATACCTGTCGAAAAAACGACATTATACATAATATTAGTATTGTTTTCATATTTTTTCACGGAGCTCAGCGGCATGTTGACTTTTCAACGTTCCGCGCGTGACTGTGAACCAAGAAGTGCTTGAGTCGTGTTCAAGCACTTCTTGATTGGGACACATTTTGATTGTTTCTAGGGTATTTAATATCGTTGGCTAATGCTATAAAAGTCTTGAGTATCTATATCATACATACTTATTGCCAGAAAAATTCAAAAGCAATTATATGAAAAATCCAAATCTCGTTTGAATCATCCGTTACTTTATATTGTTTAACTATTGTCATAAAAAACTCTTGTTGCTGCATACAGATATTTTGCCAAAAAATCAAAGGAATTATACTGCAATAATTAATCATTCCCCTTTTTTGTGGTAGGAAAAAGAAATGGACGAAAATACTTAAATATAATTTCTTTTTTTTTACCTGGCGATAGCCGATGTATTGTCCACCATCTTCTGCGAGTCGCCGTTGCGGATGGCATCTTCACACAAATACGTGTGCTTCTGCATCAACTCACCTACGAGATAAACAAAAAAAAGCATATCAAAATATTTATATTTTTTTTTGCCTTCAAATTTTTTCCCTAACTACTCTCTTCTCCTCCGCTCTACTCTCTTTCTCCGAAACTACTTCTCCGGTCTACTCTGTTTCTCCGAAACGAACTTTCGATAACGAAGTTCAAACGAAATTTAATTTCGCCAATTTAAGATTACTTAATTTGAACGATAAACTATCAAATTGAAGCTTTCTTTGAGTAGGCTGAGAAAGTCTAAACCTCAATCTATATTCCGACGACGAATATTGTTAAAATTAAAAACGAACCAGAAACATTGTAAGAAAACTGCGAAGCTTCGATCGTAATTTCGTTTTTCGTTGAATAGGGTATTTGACAGTATTCAAAATGAAGTGCCATTTGTTAGCATCTGTGTTTAGAATGTATATTGGCAGGGATTTTTACTACTTTTTACAAAAAAAATATTCATAATTACCCACGAAAAAGATAACAGTTTTCATATCTATTGTCACGTGACCCAAAACGCTTGTTATTGGCGGAGCCTAAAATGACGTCACACGCAAGTAAACTTCCGGTTAAAGTGACATTACCTTGTATCGTTTGACGTTTTAATAACAGTCGTGTGACGTCACACACTAGTAAGACGCCATATTGGCCAGAAAAACGTTTTCGCGGCAACTTGAAAATGGAGTTTTTGATTTGGTTATTTTTACTGAAACACACAACAGAATGATGAATATCCACTTTTCACGGACTCCATAAACATTAGTCAATAACGTGAGATCGTTTTCTAAAACTTGTCAAATACCCTGTTAGAGTAGGCCTCCTGGATTGAGACATAGGATACTTTTTATATCCCGTAAAAGTATTAGGTGCCCGAGGGATTTTCAAAATCCTAAAGTTAAGCGCGGACAAAGTCGCGGGCGGCCGCTAGTATCACATATATCTCACCAGCGGTGCGCACAAAGTCCAACGGGTCCACAGCCTGGTCGCAGAGGTCTCTCACGCGCAGCACTGCATCAGCGTATTGATTCTTCAAGTTGTTGAAATGTTCCTCGGAAACCTGGCACGGGTCATTAATTATATTTTAAGAAAAAATGTGTGCGTGTACTAGTGTACACACGTAAGAAGTGAAACTTCTTTATGGCCTTATTTTTTTCGAAAAATGATCTACATGCAACTTTCCAGAAATATATCTATAGGCGTGCGCTAAGATTTTTCAAAAACTCACCCACTAAAGGGGTATAACTGGCTCAAAATCACCAAGGTGGAAAATACTGAATTCTGTTTTATGATGCTATAGAGTAGAAGCTAAATATACTGATAATTACTCTAAATCATAACTAAACTTATGTTAAACTATATGACCTTGGCAGAGCATAGAATTAAATACTTTTCTTGAAATTTCAATTTTTAAGTGTGCTATCACTAAAATTAATCATTCGGGGAACGGTATTCGGAAGTTTATAATTAAATAAAAAAATATATATATATTTCATTTTTACCCTTAACGATAACGGAGATACGTCGCCAATAGTACGAACTTAAAAAACTTTGACAAAATTTGGAATTAAAACGTTTTTAAGGACAATGTCGCTGTAAATTAAGCTATATGACTATTTCATGTTCTTAAATTTACAAAATAAGTGAATATCGCTCACTTGCATATAAATAAATCTGCGGTAGCTATAGGGATTCAGCCTGTTTCCAATATTATCAGACTTTATTCCTAAATAACTTATGTTATAATGGCATTTCCTTGATTTTAGAGGTGTTCCCCGAAATGATGAGGGCATTCATCAAATGACGATATGCAGACAATTAGGGTTTAATTCACAGTTAAATTGAATAATAAGCCAAATTATAGGAAGTAATTGTTATTTATTTATTTGCTATAAGATTTATTCTTAACAAGAACTTAATTCTAACTCAATTAAATCACTTTTTTAGTCTCATAATTGATGACACAGCCAAGTAAAACTCTTGACGTCAGTGCTTTAACTGAACATGAAAGGAGGCGTTTCTGCTTCTTAATCCCGTTTTTCTTTACGAAATCTCTCTTGGCTGGATACACCCTACTGACATCATCTCTTTGGAAGAACTTTCGCGAACTTATTTATTCAAAACAACCTCATGAATTTTGGCGTCAGATTTGAGAATAGTACTGGTTTTCTCTTTTGGCAAAAAACAATTAACCTTATGAAGCAATTTGTATTGCCTTACCATAATCCCGCTAACACATTTTTGAAAAACTACCCTGTCTTTGGATTTTTTTCTCAAATAAAAGATTTCACTTCGTTAAATAAAAGATTCTTGCGCACTTCAGGAGGTACGTCAACGTTTTCTAACAATGCGTTAACTTTGCTATTGGGAGTTGTAGGGTTCTGAGACTTCACTTCTTTAAGTAAGCTGTACTGTTTTTCTTTATTTGCTTTTTCGAACGGTTTTTTTCAGCTTTGTGAGACTCCATATTGCTGTAAAAATAAAGTTAGTATACCTATTGATAACTTTGTAAGCACGACATACACAAAATTGACAGTTAGTAATAGAAAGTACCAATTAGTAACTAAATAGTCATTTGGGGAACAACAACATCATTTAGAGAACGGTCCATCAAATCGGAGAACGTTCCCCAAATGACCGTTCACCAAATGATATTTTCAAATAACCGCGTCTTTTTTAAACGGCAGCCATATTTGACAGCAATTCTTGCTTCCTTAATGTAAAATATTTGATTATAACATTTGTTATACAACACTATAAAAGCTATTATTGCATAATTTTGATTGGAAAACGCGTTCCCCAATTGACGACCTATTGATGTACGCTCTGTAAATAATGAATTGAAAGCCACTTACCACTTATTTTAATTTCATTTGGCGAACTACTTTCTTCACAGCCACTTTGTTTACAACTCTCTCTACAGCTGTTCCATAGACTAAAGAGGGATGCGTTCGAATTTTTTTGTTTCGCGTAATCAAAGCTGCGTTCACTAACATGATGCTTATATTGTCGGACATTATATTTAGACTTAGATTTTTTAAATTCGTTTTTCTTCTTTAATAATGCTTTCAATAATGTAATATTAGATACAATTGAAGGTGAATGGGTATTAATAACCGTTAAAAATGTTTTATTTTATGACTATTTCTGGTGTTAGCTTTTAAGAATTGCTACTTAGGACGCGTTCTCCAAATGATTTTTTGTACTTATTTGTCCATATAAAATGTAATATATAAGACTTTTTAATTATTTTGTGTGATGTGTGGTTAAAGTAAACACAGTTAAGTGTTTACCAATGCTAAAATGTTAAAAAACATACAGAATTTAGGCATTTATTTGCTGCCGAAGTGGATTTACCACCTTGGTGATTTTGAGCCAACTACACCTTACCTTACCTTACCTTGTGTGAAACACGAATATTTGCTGTAAATACTTTTTTTTTTAAAGTTGACAGAAGAAGCAATTGTTCGGATGAGGTAAATAGTGCTCTTTTAAAAAAAAGATGGCGCGTAACCAAAAAACGTGACGCGTAACCGAATAAAATGTGACGGTAAATTTTTTTCCAACGCCGATAAAGAAGTTTCACTTCAAAAATTGATTTGCATAAAACATTGGCTGTCGATGTTGTTAATGCCTCATTTTGACTCCAGGGGCCCATCGCCTAACGAGATTGCTATCCCGTAAAACATTTCACTGCACGCTCCCATACATGGCAGCGAGCGTATTCATTAGGGTTTTTTTGAAGTTATACTTCTTTTGGCGCGTTATGAAAAAATGATGAGAGTGAAATTTTAAGATGCGCGCGCATCGTCGTGCGTCGCTAAAACGACTAACTTCATGCTGTTACTTTTGTGTTTACCGCACATTAAGAAAATCTACCAACAAAATAGAAATAGAATCTCTATTTAGTGGGTGCTAACGACTGCATTGTGAAGGCCTATCAAAAGTATTTATTAATCTGGAACAACGGAACCAAAGCGCGAATCAGGAGACTACAGCGCCATCTCTTGACCATTGGTGTAGTAGAACCAAAAACCACATCTTTATTTTTTGTAATAAAGTAACAGTTATAGGTATTCATATTTATAATATTTATCCACATGTTTCTAGTTTGTATATTCGGAATACGTGTTTGAGTTTCATACAAGTGCAAATCACATATGTTCTAATTAATTATATTCAGTAGCGATTTTAATTGAATATTTTGATTATTTATTTATTTTTTCAAATTAAAACTGAACTTTATTGACTGTGTCCTTTTCCAGACCTTTTATTTTAATTTCCGTCGAACCTCCTTGGAGGCGGTTTTAATCTCTCAATTTAATACTAAAAAGATATAGTTCTAATTTCCACCACCCGCACGTGGCGCCATTTGAAAATCCGCGCCATTTTCATAGTAGAAAAAGTTTGCTTCATTACTTAAATTAGGTTAAGGTATCGTTTTCTTGCAAATGTGTTAAAAAACTTGGTGCAATTCAATTCCTTCAATCTTCTTCTAAATGTTTCAAAATCAAAAATACAAACATATTTTAAACTATGACTTTTTACTTACCTTGCTGTCAGGATAGAGGAGGCGAATTTTGCCCGCGGCAATCAGTTGCGGTGACAACTTCTCTACCTGCAATACAAAATAAATATTATATACAGATTTCAGTTACCGCCAATTAATAAAAAACAAAGTAGCTTTGTATCGTCAGTTTTTTAGCGTATGCGTAAATAATATTATGTTTACTTGCTAACTTAGTGTACGAATAAACCTGTCTGGCTTCTGTTACACAAATGATAATTTAAAACTGGTACTTTATATTAATAATAATAAATAAACAAATGTGTGCACGGAGCACACATCTGAAGTGAAACTTCTTTTCTTAAATAAGGCAAAGCGTTATCATTTCGCTTTGTATTTTTTTTTCTATTCCCGACACTATTTTAATCATTCCTAGCTTATCTAAAATAGTGTGTTCATCTTTCTCATTTTCTGTTTCTTCTTCAACTTCTATCAAAGATCTTCGTTTGGATAAATTTTTAAGACAGTCTAGACAAAATCATTCCAGGCTTTCTGCCGATCGTACCGCTGCTAGCTGTTGTAGCTGCGGTAAGCTGGCGAACGCGTTACGAAAAGTGCGATCGGGAGTTAAGTAGGGGATATAAGCAAGAGAAAGCAGCAAGCAGTGCGCGTGCACATTTTATTTCTCTCTTTCTCTTATAGCTAGTAAATGAAATATGTATATGGACATTCATGTATATATTGTACACATATATCATCATCATAATATCATCTTAAAAAAATGCAATACTACTTTTGCTACGAGGCAGTATGGCGCACGTTCAGCTGAATTGTATAATAATTTAAATAAAAAGCTTAAAATATACAATAAATATTATTATACTTGTAAGTGTTCAATAACAGAGTGGCTGCAAGCAAAAACCTATCAAGAAATCGAAATGTTACTTGAGAAGGTTAAATAACTAAAGAGTGAAAAAGAGTTAAAATGAGGCTCACATCTTAACACACATACACACACGCCCACACATATACCCACGCACGCACATATACACACGCACGCACATCTATACACGCACGCACACACACAAACACACGCACGCGCACACACATACACATGCACGCACGCACACATACACCGGCTACATGAACATTATTAAATATTGTTTAATTAGAAAATAAAAATAAACTACTTATGGAAGAGCGGCGTCCCCTGACACAGGCTTTTTAGCTTAACAGAGGACCCCGATCACTGAAAATTTTTGTACAAAAATTGTTAAGAAGAAATAAAGATTTATTATTATTATTATTATATCACTTCAGTCGTGTGGTCATAAGCACACTCGTTTTTTTGTGTCATAATGCAACGTAATTTTTTGTAATATATAAAATTGTCGTGTCACGGTGTGCGTAATTGAACTTCTCTGAAACGATTTTTGTGAAATTTTATATGAATATTCAGTAGGTCTGAGAATAGGACATCTATTTTACATCCCCCTAATTTTTTTATGATACATCGTACAAAAACACATACAACCCTCAATTTTTACCCTTCTATCACCAACATTATTTTTTATGGCGTTACGAAGTTCGCTGGGACAGCTAGTTATATACATATATATATATATATATATAATCAACCTTTCACGGTAAATGTTGATCCAGTACTGATTTAGAACAAATGTTGATCCACCTATTTCGTGTGTACATTCAGCTCTGGATTCAGATACGGCTGTGTAGATCGAATATATGAATTCAGCGTCTGACGTCAGTGGATGTGCTCTTACCCGTTTTTTATTTACTCGTCATAAAATTTTAAGGTTTTTGTTGATCCAATAACGGTCAAAAAAATGATATGCAAGCGCAAAATGTGGCTCCGATTTATATCCGACTTTTAGTGGTAAATGTGGCTCCATAGTTGAATATGAAGAGTACGGCAACGTCGCGCTATTGGGCAAATGAAGCAAGCATACGTTCCATTAAAAGTGAATGTGAGACAACATTCTGTCGAGTATTTCTGCATTTTGAATTGTAGAGATGTGTTTTACACGAGTCCAGCATAAGCACTTCTAATAGATTTCTACTTTTTTAGTAAATTTGAGGCAAAGAGAACGATGTTATGTCATATGGCCTTTTCTTGTGGGGCTCAGCTGCCAATATCGAAAGTATTTTCATACTGCAAAAGAGGGCTAGCTGTTGCGCCATATACAACTTAAAAGCAAGAGAATCTCTTAGGGAAAATTTTAATCAAATTAATATTTTAACACTGGCATCGCAACAAATTTATAAAAATATGTATAATATACTAGCTGTGCCCCGCGGTGTGATTTTATTCCGCAGTGAAACGTAGCCTATGTGGTAATTCAGGGTGTCAGCTAACTCCATACCAAATTTTATTAAAATCGCTCCAGGCGTTTACGTGAAGAAGTAACAAACATACACACACACAAATTTTTGCCTTTATGATATTAGTGTAGGTAATATAAGAAAAAACTATGACGCATTTGCAAAAAAAAGTCAAACCCATAACTTTAACTGGAGATTTAAGAACAAGCTTGCAGTTCCATGTTTCAGACTCCAAAATCAAGAGGTTTATTTCTGGGTTGTAGTATTGCACTGCTTAAAAAAGTTCCCCAAGATCTAATTGAGCTTCCACTGACCTAATTTAGATCTCAGATCAAGAATAATGTTATAAATAAGGGCTATTATAAAGTTGATGATTATCGAAATGCTCGTAATGCATGGACATAGTGTTTCTTGTAATTTGATGGGTATTAGTAATTTTTTATAACAGTAATATGGTGCCTATCTAATGCTGCTTCCTATATACTAAATATAAAGTTAACTATAAAATTTATTGTTAGGTACTATATCCTAAATGATGTAATGGAAAGGCGACTTCAAAAGTAGCTTTGAAGTAATTTTTCAACTTGACGATTATGTATATAACAATATAGGGAGAAAAAACCAGCCCTTGCTGAGTTTCTTGCCGGTTCTTCTAAGTACAAGGTCTTCCGCCGTAGTTTTGCTAACCGATGGCGTAGCTTCTTGACCTTCACAAGTGCTTCTAACAGCCTAGACAGAATAAATGATTTATGATTTTGATGATTTAGTAGTAATTTCAGTAGAAAATCGCTATAGTTTAGTAGATTCGGTAGAAAATCGATTTATTTACGACATTCTGAAAAATGGTCATCCAAAACATTATACCAGAAAATGAAATTCAATAAATGAAACTGGAGCAATGAATTTGAAGCACTGTAACTTGACATATGCAGCGTCGGTGAACCTTAACTGGCTCATTCTTCCCTGTAAGGGGGGTAAGTTCTCGAGGTCTCCTGTTCCCAGCACCGTCGAGCCGCCCGAACCCCTCTCGCTCGGAGAGGAGCGTGAGACACAGGGCGCCGGGGACGCAGGGAAGCACAGAGTCAGGTTGGGTCGTGGAGGGCCGGGCGGAGGCGCCACTCGGGGCAGGCCACGCGCACGGCGCACTCAACCTCGATTCGGTCATACACAGGGATTGAGAGAACTTAGGATTTGCCAACCACCTATGGAGGGTACCGCGCATACAGGCATCTTCTCCTTCTTTCGCTCCGACGGCGCAAGAGGTCAGCTCTAGCGTCCACCTCGTGAGCCCTCTCCGTTGCCTCCTTTTGCGAGATGACGTCCTCACAAAAGGAGACCACGGTACGCCAAGACCTGTCGCCGCTCAGCATAGCGTTGACTAGGCTAGGCAGAGAGTCGTCGTTAGGGTGTGACACCGCTGACCCACGCGCTTCGCACCTCTAGAGTAAGCTGCGCAGTGTCCTCAGTAGCGCCGCCCTCATGACCCGACGGGGTCGCCTTCCTTCGCATCATGTGCAGGTAATTTCCAAAGCAGCTATGCCCGGACGCATCTCTTCCTGTCCTCACCAGAGCCTCAATGGCGGGTCGTTCACCTCGCTCCTTGGGGTCGGCGCGCTCATTGTAAACAACCGTCAAGATCTAAGCTAACTCTGTGTTAAGGGCGTCCACCTAGAACGACGCACTATACAGGGCCATATTGTGGAGGACACCCACATATAACCTTCGACAAGTGGCATTACATCCTCCCAAGTTGGGCACAAGTCTGCCTAGGGCAGCTGCCGCTCCCTCTAGCTTGGGGCCCAGGCGCCGGAAGTGCTCACTACTTTCCAGTAAGAGTCAAGCCAGAGCCCCAAGGTACTTGATTGAGGGTTTTAATGGAACCTTTACCTCGTCCACTTGAATGTGGATGTTACTCCTGCTCTGGCGAAACTGGTCACCATACGGGGCAATAATTATGCAGACAGCATAATTATTGCCGCGTATGGTGACCAGAGTGTCGTCTGCATAGCAGATAACCCCTTTATGGGGCAGCAAATCTCCGCGAATCGCCCAATCAAAACCCACGTTCCACAGGAGCGGTCCGAGGACCGACCCCTGTGGAACCACGTACGTCGTATTGCGAACAACTGCGCGCCGAATAGAATCTGTATAGAGCACTTCTCTGTCTTGGAGATAGTGCTCCATTATGACCATCAAATATGTGGGGAGCCGATGGTGGTAGAGGGACTTCCTAATACAGCTGTAAGGAAGGGTGCTAAATGCGTTTGCTATGTCAAGCGATATCGCTATGACAACCTCCCCTCTGCTAAATGTCTGTTGGGACAGCCGCTTTAGTCTGAGTATCGCGTCTATGGTGGACAGCCTTCTTCGGACGCCGGTTGGGCCGGGAGCCTTTATCTTCCCTCTGAGGCATTCCATGGCGTCCTGTCTCTTCGTCAGTCAAATCCTACTCATGTAATAACTGACCGCATTTAAACTCAATTCAAACGAAAGCGTTCTTATATTAAAACTAGCTGTCCCAGCGAATATCGTACCGCCATAAAAAATAGGGGTTGGTGGTAAAAGGGTGAAAATTTAGGGTTGTATGTATTTTTGTATGATGTATCATAAAAATGGTGGTCTATAACGATGCTAACAGGGAACCCAATATAATGTTGCGCGAAGTGGAAAATGCAATTGACTAGCTGAAACTGAAAGCGTGTGGTGGCGACGGAATCACCGCGCAAATGATCAAGCGCCTAGTACAGATGGCATTAAAACATTACACACGATATGCCAAAAAGTGTGGGATACCGGACATTGGCCTGAGGATTGGACAGAATCTGTAGTTATTCCGCTGCACAAGAAAGGATCCACCCGCAAATGTACAAATTACCGGACCATTTCACTGATTCCCCACGCCAGTAAAGTGTTGCTACATATCCTCAACAAACGGCTGGAACGTTATATCGGTAGGCAAATAGCGAGAGAACAGGCTGGATTCGTCAAGGGCAAGGGTACTCGCGAACAAATATTAAATATATCAGACAGCTAATCGAAAAAAGCCGTGAATTCAACGTTCCAATGGTGTTATGCTTCATTGATTACACAAAAGCCTTTGATTGTGTAAATTGGGCCAAAATGTTTGCGGTGATGGTGGAGATGGGTGTGCCTAGGCATCTGGTCTTCTTGGTGCAGAATTTATACCTTACCGGCAGGAGCAGGGTGAGAATGGATGGTTATGTCTCCGAATCCTTTAAGCCAGCTCGTGGTGTACGTCAGGGATGCATACTATCACCCCAGTTGTTCAACCTAGTTGGTGAGCACATAATGCGCAGAGTACTCGAGGACTGGAAGGGTGGTATTCGAATAGGGGGCCAACTTATCAATAACTTACGTTTCGCCGATGACACGACCATAATAGGAGCCGATGAACGAGAACTGGCTTTCCTACTGCGCAAGGTTCAAGACGTCAGCGTGGAATATGGCCTTTGTATAAACCGTGACAAAACCAAGCTTATGTTTGTCGATAGAGCTGACAAGTTGGTAAGAACATTTGAGCTGAGTGATTTAGACACAGTTACCAGTTTTGTATACTTGGTATCACTTATACGCAATGACGGGGACTGCGAGGCGGAGGTGGTCAGACGCGGACAGATGGCAAAGGCTGCCGTGAAGCGATTGGAGAGGATCTGGAAGAACAGAGGAATTACTAAATCCACTAAAGTGCGGCTGATGCGAGCCCTGGTCTTCTCAATTTTCTTGTACGCTTCCGAAACCTGGACGTTGAAAGCACGCGTCTTCCAGGATTGATGCATTTGAAATGTGGTGTTGGCGCAGAATGCTACACATACCTTGGACCGCACGAAGAACTAATGCATCTATCTTGAAGGAGCTGGGTATCAAGACGCGTCTCTCTTCTGTCTGCATGCAGCGCCTCCTAAAATACTTCGGTCACGTAGCTAGGAGAAGCCCGGATAATTTTGAAAATCTTTTGATCGTTGGAAACGTGGAAGGCAAGAGGAGTAGGGGCAGGTCTCCATCCTGGTGGTTGGACACAGTTAAAGAAACTACGAATGGCAACTTGCAGGCGTCCATCCGCCTTGCAGAACACAGAACGGTCTGGAGATCGTTGGTGAAATGTGCTGTCCTGAAAGGTCACGACTCTCAGCCATGAGGAAACGACGATGAAGAAGAAAGAAGATCATAAAAATATAAAAATAAAAAAAAAATGTCCAAAAACAAAAAATATATTTAAGAGTGGACCTTAACATTTAGAGGGTTGAAAAATAGATTTTGACCGATTCTCAGACCTACTGAATATGCATATAAAATTTCACGAAAATCGGTCGAGTCGTTTTGGAGTAGTTTAATTACGCAAACTGTGACACGAGAATTTTATATATTAGGCTAGCTGTCCCAGCGAACTTCGTAGCGCCATAAAAAAAGGGGTTGGTGGTAGAAGGGCGAAAATTTAGGGTTGTATGATTTTTTTGTCTGATGTATCATAAAAAAATAAAAACAAAAAAAATATTTAATGGTGGACCTTAAAAAACTCTTGACATTTATGGGAAGACCTACTGAATATGCATATAAAATGTCACGAAAATCGGTCGAGCCGTTTCGGAGTAGTTCAATTACGCACACCGTGACACGAGAAATTTTATATATTAGATTAAAAGTTAAATTTTCGATTCTCAATGGACCAACTACTGTAGTAAGCGGAACGGCAACGTTGTATTGACCTCCATCGGCCAATCACGGTGGAAGTAATAAAGTGCTTCATCCTGATTGGTCCGTTTGAATCGGATCAACATTTATCGGAGCGGATTTGTATATTGGAGCCACATTTGACAAGAGTAATTTGCAGCCAAGTCACGTGACAAAAATACCAAATGTTGATCCGATCGGAGCCACATCAGTATGAGAAATAGCGTAATGGATCAACATAAAGCCTCCGGATCAACATTTGTTTTTGGATCAACAATTAACTGATCGTACGTCTCGAAAGATCAACATTTACCGTGTTGGTATCTCTATATACATACACATACAGATAGAGCTAAAGAAGTTTCAGTTCAGTCGTGTGGTCATAAGTACACTAGTTTTTTTTTTCATAATGTAAGTTTCTTTATTATTTTATATACCTGTTGCGAGTAATGGTTGAGCTGGTCGGCCAGCCGCTTGTTGTGGTCCCCCTGGGCCACCATGTGGGCGGCGGCGGCGGCGCGCTGGCTGAAGGCCTGGAGGGCGGCGGCCTTGTCGTGGAAGTTGGCCTCGCGGTTCGGGGTTCCTGGTTCGTTTATACCAATCGATTATTTAGTTATAGATACTTTGTACAATAATCATAGACATTGCATTGTCATCTGTAAATTTATAAATCATCATCATCATCATCATCAGCCTATTAATGTCCCCACTGCTGGGGCACGGGCCTTAGCTATGGATGGAATAGGGAGATTGGGCCATGACCCACCACGCGGGCCCAGTGCGGATTGGTGGGTGCTAACGACTGCAGATGCAGCCGGGACCGACGGCTTAACGTGCCTTCCGAAGCACGGAGGAACTCGAGATAGTAAATTTTTGGTCACCCATCCAATGACCGACCACTGCGAAAGTTGCTTTACTTCAACGATCGCAGCCGAACGCGCTAACCACTTGCGCCATCGAGCTCCACAAATTTATAAAACAAAAATTAAAAATCAATTTAGTTATAGATACTTTGTACAATAATCATAGACATTGCATTGTCATCTGTAAATTTATAAAACAAAAATTAAAAATCAATGCTCAACCAACTCGCGTTTCACTTAAGTATACACATATTGAAAGAAAGAAAGAAAATTAGCTTTTTTGTTTCTTAGGTTTTCACACACAATCACTCATTAAATAAAACTAGTTTTAACGGGTTAATGCACGAACTTTATTAATTTATTGACTTTTCGCAAGCTTTTCAGGTCTGCATCGTCAGAATAATGGTTTTTATTTAGTTTGTCGAGCTACCTTCGAAAGACTTTCATTGAGCGATCGGATATTTCATTGGAAGATTTTTAAAACTTGATTGCCTATGTATGAATTTATTAGCTTATTTAGTTAATGAAGTACTTTATTTAAAATTCTTTTTTGTAATTTTCAGTTTTTTTATTTGACCCTAACTACCGTAAACTACAGCATTTATTGGCCTTAGAAACAAGAAGTTAAAAAATTACATTTATGTTTTCATTTTTTAAGCATTTAACTGTTAGATGTTTAAATCTAAATAATAGTTTTCTAGAAAAAAATCCACGCGGACCAAGCAGCAGACGGGACTCGAACCCGCACCCTTCGCTATCCGGGGGAATGCACTGAACATTATGCTACCGCGGCCATGTTGAAAATGTCATTTTCAAAAATTTTGACAACCCCTGCATTGGTCAATGACTTTTTGTATCGCTTCTCGTTGGCCGTTCTTTGTTAATTCTTCTACCAATCAGTTCACCAACACCCTCTCTATCATGCAATTAATCCGTTATTCTTATACTATACTTTCTATTATGTGCTAATTATAATATATTATATTGGCAGGAGCTCGATGGCGCGGGTGGTTAGCGCGTTCGGCTGCGATCGTTGAAGCTAAGCGACTTTCGCAGTGGTCGGTCATTGGATGGGTGACCAAAAATCTTCTATCTCTCGCTCCTCCGTACTTCAGAAGGCACGTTAAGCCATTGGTCCCGGCTACATTGCAGTCGTTAGCACCCACCAATCCGCACTGGGCCCGCGTGGTGGTTCACAATCCCAATCTCCCTATTACATCCGTAAGGAAGGCCTGTGCCCCAGCAGTGGGGACATTAATAGTGTTAACGCCATCTATCGTAAGCTTGTGAAAACACATTTACCTTATCCCTTCCTCTAAACTCACCTGTTGTCAACTTCGTCCGCGGCGCTGCCATCGCTGCAATTCGAACGAACGGACGAGAGAAAAAGGCAACGGAAATTGTGTGTTCTGATCGCCGAGAGGAGATACCAAGAAACTCCCACGACTGAGAAAAAAACGCGCTCCGGAGACGCTTTTCGCCTACACATATTTCCGCCCCGGGGCCCGCGAACATTAGTGTAAAAAGGAAATAGTGGCGCTACAGGCGAACATTTCTCCAGGACAGGAAGAACAGGCGTCAAGGAATCAGTCCAACAAACCAACAGGTACCCCCTTTCCCACAGTTTCCCTCTAGTTTTTGTGTTTTCTTCTTGTATATAATCGCACATCCACGCCGGGAATTTGTTTTGTTTTGTGGCGTGACCAAATAGGCTGATGATAATTACCTGGCGGTGCATTAACTGCATCGGTGAAATGCCTCAATGGTGCGGCGACGTCTATGAAGTCTTCAACCACTCGATTCACTACCGCCCTTTCGAGGCCGCGTCGCAACTCGTGCAATTTGTCCGTCAACTCTCTGCCACAAGACAAAACAGGACGATAAATAGCCTATCTTTAGCACACACGGTAATATTGTGGAGCAAAAAAAAAAAAAATTCAATATCGTTTATTCAGTCTAGGTTACAAGCACTTGTGAATGTCGAAAAGCTACGCCATCGGTTCGCAAAACTACGGCGGGAGACCTTGTACTGAGAAGAACCGGCAAGAAACTCAGCAAGGGCTGCTTTTTTCTCCCTGTTTTATTTCATACAGTGTCGTCCAATTGAAAGTTGACATCAAACTTGCAAACATGTGTTGAGGTCAACTTCCATCACATAATGTCAAATATGTAACAATCAATGAGTTTACTAACAATAAGTGCAAAGATAAGTCCCAAAATAGCAAGAAACAATTTTCAAAACAAAATGAACAAGTATATGAAAGGGAGTAAGTGCAAGGTTCTCTTCAAAACTCTTTCTAAGGCTGGGAGCCTTAGTTTTAATATAACTTTTGAAAAATTATCTACAGGTAAAATTACAACCAGGCCGTTTTATCATTCAAATATTGATTGACAGTATAATATCCTTTGTTAAGTAAACAATTCTTAATGTGTATTTTAAATTTATGAGGAGGCAAATCAAGGATATCAATAGGAATCTTATTATAGAAACGTATACCTTGACCCATAAATGATTTATGAACCTTCTGCAATCTGTAATTTGGTATCTTGAGTTTATTTTTATTCCTTGTATTAAAAGAATGTATGTCACTGTGTTTTAGATAATAGTTAATATTGCTTCGAACAAAAGTATGCAATTATAAATGAATTGAGAAGCAACAGTCAAAATCCCGATTTCTTTAAATTTTTCTCTAAGAGATTTTCTAGAACTAAGTTGATAAATAGCCCTTATAGCTCTTTTTTGCAAGATAAATATAGTTTCAATATCGGCTGCTGATCCCCAGAGAATAATACCATAGGATACAATACTATGAAAGTAACTAAAGTATACAGTTCTAGCAGTAGCTACATCAGTAAGTTGTCTTATTTTACGTATGGCATAGGCTGCTGAACTAAGTTTACCAGCTAGCAGAGAAATATGAGGATACCATTGCAATTTCGAGTCTATGATTATACCTAAGAATATCGTTGACTCAACTAAATCTAGGTTTTCATTGTTTAATTTAATTCTAATGGTTTCGCTTCTAACATTAGGTAAAGTGAATTTAATGCATTTGGTTTTATTTGCATTTAATTTTAAGTTATTTACATTAAACCAGTGCAATACTTGTGAGAGAGCATTATTTACATCGTCAAAGTTATTCTTGTATCGGTCAACCTTAAATAATAAAGAAGTATCATCAGCAAACAATACGATCTCACACAATTTTTCCACAAAAAATGGCAAATCGTTTATGTACAATAAAAATAGAAACGGACCTAAAATCGATCCCTGGACCTTCCGCAAGACCTTCTTGCGGAAATTAAGTTAAAGGTTCCCAGAAAAATCCCCCGCCAACCCGTCAAATCAGTCGTTAACTGTCCCTTTAAAACAAAATTAGCTTCACCGTTTAACGGAATTAAAGATGCAAAGAACGAGATACGCCATGATGTTGACATCTTTCCCGCTCCACTCCAAGCCCTCAAAAATCATTCGTATTGTAACGTTACAACTGAACAGTAATTTGTTACTGTTACAAATATAGGTCACTATCTACATATAGTCAATGTTGTACATGCCTGCAATGGCAATTCACACGGTTGAGTACTACCTGCATCTTTAAATCTTTATTGAAATCTGTGAAATTGTCGATGGTTTGTCAAATAAAGTTATATATATAAAGTTTAGTTCTCGTTACGTACTTTGTAGCGCTGCTGTTCAAGCTTCCATACAAAATTTGACATTGACATTTTGGAGTCGCAAACGATACCAATTCGATATTGGTTCGTGCTAAGGGTACAGAGAAAGGTTTTCACGGCAACTTGAAAATTGAATTTTAAATTTAGTTTTTTCTTTACTTAATAACACATCAGAATTAAAAGTATCCTTAACTTTTTATTGACTCCTAAACATTGGTAAATGACGTAAGAACGTTTCCTAAAACTAGTCACATACCCTATTATATTGTTCCCTCATGTTGATTCAAACATTAACGTGTTAATTTGTGATGTTAACAACGATATTAAAAGCCCTAGCTACACCACATGCGCTCGAAATGTGTCCCAATCAAGAAGTGCTTCAACACCACTCAAGCACTTCTTGATTCACAGTCACGCGCGGACCGTTGAAAAGTCAAGTTGCCGTAGAGCTCCGCGAAAGAAATACTTATAGTATATTCAAGTTCATGATGGTATCTAGGGTATTTAATATATAGGGGTATAAGAATAGAGTGGGGAAGGCTGCTCTAAAAGTGTCCGTTTAGTAGAAAGAGAAAGAAGATGAGAGATCGCTATCTCTCTCGCTCTCTTGTGACGTATGGCATCCAACGATATCACATCGACATAGTAAGATGCTTACGGTTGCCAATGCGCATACGCGATTTGAGAGAGAAGCTGGCGGTCTCTCATCTTCTTTCTCTTTCTATTAGAGGGACACTTCCGCTTGTAGTAGAGTCAATATCTCCCCTACTCTATTCTTATACCTCTACGATTTAATATCGTTGTGTAAATACATCTATAAATCTACCAATATTCACCTGGTGATAGCTTTGGCTTCCTCCGAGTCCCCGCGGCCGCTGAGACATAGATCGGCCAGTTTGTCAGACAGCCTCTGTACTTCAGAACACAGCTGCAATACTTCCGCCTTTTCACGACCTTGCAGGCCGTCTGCAATCTATTGAAATGAAATGAAATTATACTTAATTCAAATAGCCCTTTTGAATAGTTCAATATCTTTCCCTACCACTCATTCAAGACTTTTAAGTTTATTTGATAGTTTGAAAAACAATGTACCAATGAGGGCTACCGTTTTCTGTCCCACCAGATGGCGCCACTGTTGAGTGAGGTCCTAAATTGTAACTTTTAAAGTTTATTAATACACACATGAAATCAAAGGTTACATTTAGATCGTATTTTAACACAAAAGAACCATATCCTAAACATAATAGGCCATGCCACAGTGACGCCCAGTTCCGTTTTATTCGGAAAAAATGGGAACATAATCATTTTTCTAAGCTCAAATTTTTAATAACTGACATTCATTGCCACATAACTCATATTTGCCATAATTAAGCCGAATTGTTACCAATTATTCACAACATTATTTTAGTAAGAAATAAACCCGCGTAGTCAACCAACAAGCAATAACATTTGACATTTCGGAGACCTCGCGCTACACTAGCGCCTCTAGCGGCGGATTCATACGCGATAGCCCTCAATGTTGGCATCTGTAATCAATATGATTATTAGCAGCGATTTTACTATTACGAAATAACAAATATTTAAAAACTTTCTATATATTTATATTACATAGATTCCTTTTTTTGCTTCATGGTCATGTGCCGAAAACGCCTGGTATTGGCCAAGAATAAAATGACGTCACACACTTTTAAACTTCCGGCCAAAGTGTCATTACATTGTATCGTTCGACGGCATAATGTCCAAACGTTTTGGCGGCAACTCGAAAATTGAATGTTTTAATTTAATTCTTTAACTATATTACACAACAAAATTAAGAATAGCGACTTTCTATCGACTCTATAAACAGCTGTCAATAACGTGAGATCATTTTCTTGTCAAATACCCTAATATCGTTCGTAAACAGATTTTTCGGCTAACCAATTTTGACGTGATCACGTGTTATAAATCGATGAACACCGGCTGCACGCACAAAAAGTGTCACGTTCTGCTTGAGCCTGAGCGTGCAAGCGAGAGCGCGGAACAAGCGATAGAGAGGCACGATCGGCCCAAGCCGAGGCGCTTACACATTTATCTCTCTTCTCGCGTGACGTCAGAGCTAGCAATTATGCAATTTTTCATCAATGTTTCTTTATGACGTTATCACGTAAAACTATCGTCCGTAAACCGACTTAACAGACAACATTTTTTTTGACAACGTGAGAGGAGCTCGATCGTACAAGTGGTTAGAGCGTTCGGCTGCGATCGTTGAAGTTAAGCTACTTTCGCAATGGTCGGTCATTGGATGGGTGACCAAAAATCTTCTAACTCTCGCTCCTCCGTGCTTCGGAAGGCACGTTAAGCCGTTGGTCCCGGCTGCATCTGCAGTCGTTAGCACCTACCAACCCGCACTGGGCCCGCGTGGGGGGTCATGGCCCAAACTCCCTATTCTATTAATAGGGAAGGCCTGTGCCCCAGCAGTGGGGACATTAATAGGTTGATAATGATGAATAAGGCGGCTCGAGTAAAATCACTGACAAACAAACTTGCGCAGTAGACGGTTGGACGTGATAACGTCTTATAAATGAACACAGGCTACAAGCAAGAAGAAGTGTGACGTCATGTGACCCTCCCCCCTCGAAGAGTACCTCGCTCCTCGGGTACCGGCTCCGGTTGTATCTGCAGTCATTAGCACCCGCCAATCCGCACTGGGCCCGCGTGGTGGGTCTTAGCCCGAACTCCCTATTCTATCCATAGGGAAGGCCTGTGCCACAGCAGTAGGGATATTAATAGGCTGATGATGAATTGTCGTCGGTTGTTGGTCAAGAAGTTAGTCTGGGTGTATTACTGACCCTCTGCCCCTGGGACACGATGCTGTTGATGGCTTTCTGGCCCTCAATCCTGGTGGCGGGGTCGGCCGCCGGGTGAAGCAACCATTTATGAGCAGTCTCCAATCTAATATGTACATCACATTAACAAAGATTACAATCTAGAAAGAAAGAATAAAGAAAAATGTTTTATAAACCCCAATTTCATATACACACATAATATAGGGTATTTGACAGTGTTAAAAATAAAGTGCCAATTATCAGCATCTGTGTTTAGAATGAATATTGGCAGGGGTTTTTACTATTTTTATAAAAAAAATATATTCATAATTTTACTGAAAACTAACGAAAAAGATGATGAAAGAGCGGAGCCTAAAAGGACGTCACACGCAAGGAAACTTCCGGTTAAAGTGACATTACATTGTATCGTTTGACGTTTTAATAACAGTCGTGTGACGTCACACACTAGGAAGACGCCATATTGTCCAGAGAAACATTTTCGCGGCAACTTGAAAATGGAGTTCTTGATTAGGTTATTTTTACTGAAATACTCAACAGAATGATGAATATCCCCTTTTTACGGACTCCATAAACATTAGTCAATAAAGTGAGATCTTTTTCTAAAACTTGTCAAATACCCTATTAATCGCAAAAAATAAGGAATATAAAATAACAATAATAATAAGGTTTCATTTCAATTTTTTAAGCATTCAACTGCTAGATGTTTATCTGAAGAAAATTAATTTTCGAGTTCCATCTGTACCCTTAACACGAACCAGAATCAAATTCGAATAGCTTGCGAGTGCGAAATGTCATTGTCAAATTTTGTATGGAAACTTGAACAGCAGCGCCTCAACAAACGTAACGAGAACTAAAAATCAGTACACATTTGACAATGACATTTCGTACTCGCAAACTATTCGAATTCGATATTGGTTCGTACTAAGGGTACTGCTGCCTGGTCCGAGTGGGATTTTATCTGGTAAATTTTTCTTTAGAATAAAAATGGGAGTAACCTGCCCAGTGTCGAATTTTCTCTTGTATTTGTTAGGCTGCTTTTTTATAATTAAACATCTAGTATTTCAATGCTTAAAAATAGAAATATAATTATCATTGCTCTTTCTTCTTTCAAATGTTTAATACTTCTAAAAGTATTCGTTTGACATTGTAGGTTCCCTTCAATGTGAAGAGATTGCGCTGCCTTGCAGCCTAAGAAATACTAGAGAAAATTCGTCACAGCCATCAATGTACGGCGATAGCATAATGCGAGTTCGAATCCCGTCTGATGCGTGGGGGTCAATCGCCTAACGGGACTGCTATGACTATCGCTATCGCTGAAGATTTCATTTTGTTATTTCTAACCGCCGAAGGTTTCGAATACCTCAGGCTCATTATCTTTAAATATTGTTATTACTAATGCAAAAGAAAGAAAAGAGCGCGGGGCATTTGAAAACCTTCCACGTGGAATTTTTTCTAGTAAAATTTTCTTTAGATTTAAACATCTAGCAGTAAAATTGCTTTTCAGAAGTCAGAAGTCTTTATTTGCTTAAAATATGGTGTACATAAGATGTTACATTTGTGTTTGATGTTATGTTACACATTCAGTATAAATAAAGTATCATAAATAAATATCAGTATTTAAAAATAAAAATAAAACAGATAGTATTATTATTTAAATTACAGACTATAAATTTGACATGGTAATTGAGTTATCATTTTAAGCTAATAATGACAACTCTATCACTATTTCAATTGCCAATCGGGCCAATCATGCATGACATTCGTGAAAATTATTATACCAATTTAAGATTAATTCTTTTTGAAATAAAATACCCACAAAATATGAAAATGCGAACAGAACAATTTATAACACTCTCTTTGGCTCTCGCTTATTGAAATTGAACCTTACTGCCACGTCATAACGTGTTACTTTGAACAAATGTGTTTTATCTGCATAATTTTAATGAGGCATTCTTCAATGTGTTTTATCTGCATAATTTCAATAAGACATACTTCATTAAAATTATGCCGATTAAACACATTTGATCAAATTAACACGTTATGTCGTGGCAGTAAGGTACAATTTCAATTGTATACAAGTCTCGGGCGTTTTTTAATGCACTTTTGTTAGGCGATTGGGAGTCTACTTGTTTTTATATGACAACTAGCGGACCCGACAGACGTTGTCCTGTCTACACGTCTTTGTGAATCTAAACCATTCTCAGATCCCCTTGAACACACACAAAAAATTTCATCAAAATCGGTCCAGTCGTTTAAGAGAAGTTCAGTGACATACACACTCACAGAAGAATTATATATATAAAGATTCTTCTGTGAGTGTGTATGTCACTGAACTTCTCTTAAACGACTGGACCGATTTTGATGAAATTTTTTGTGTGTGTTCAAGGGGATCTGAGAATGGTTTAGATTCACAATTTTGTCCGCTGGACAATGTTTTTTTAATTAATTTTTAATTTATTAGTAGTTTAAATCTAAAGAAAATATAACTAGAAAAAATTCCACGCGGACCAGGCAGCAGACGGGACTCGAACCCGCACCCTTCGCAATCCGGGCGAATGCACTGACCAATTATGCTACCGCGGCCCTCACGGACCGCGTCGAAATTCCTTCTAGCTATTCTTAAGCTGCAAGGCAGCGCCATCTCTTCGCATTATAGGTAAACCCACAATGTCAAATGAATACTTTTACAAGTATTAAACATTTGAAAGAAGAAATAGCAATTATAGTTATAATTTTTATTATTTTTAAAGCATGTAACTGCTTGATGTTTAAATCTAAAGAAAATATAACTAGAAAAAATTCCACGCGGACCAGGCAGCAGACGGGACTCGAACCCGCACCCTTCGCAATCCGGGCGAATGCACTGACCAATTATGCTACCGCGGCCCTCACGGACCGCGTCGAAATTCCTTCTAGCTATTCTTAAGCTGCAAGGCAGCGCCATCTCTTCGCATTATAGGTAAACGTGAGGGCCGCGGTAGCATAATTGGTCAGTGCATTCGCCCGGATTGCGAAGGGTGCGGGTTCGAGTCCCGTCTGCTGCCTGGTCCGCGTGGAATTTTTTCTAGTTATATTTTCTTTAGATTTAAACATCAAGCAGTTACATGCTTTAAAAATAATAAAAATTATAATTATTAGTAGTTGTTGATTTTGGAATGTTTTACATTGGATCCGACAGATGGCTATGTGTATATTCCTGTCAAACATTTGACGTTCGCCGTTTATCATTTCTTCCAAATTATTGTAAGCAATACGAAGTACGCTGGGTCAGCTAGTCTTATATATAAAATTTTCGTGTCACAATGTTAGTTACCATACTCCTCCTAAACGGCCTGACCGATTTTTATGAAATTTTATATGCATATTCCGTGGGTATGAGAATCGGCTACTATCTATTTTTCATATCTTGAAGTGATAATGGTTGTCCGCCCGTAACGTAGTGTTCTGAAACCTGCCTTCGCGCCAAAATTCGAACTATTGTGTATTGTAACGTAGTGTTCTGATATGGGTTAGGAGGAATGTATTTTGGACAACATTTATTTTTTTATAATGTGGTATTAAAAAATACATACAACCCAAAATTTTCTCTTCTACCACCTGCCCTGGTTTTTAAGGCGGTACGAAGTTCGCTGGGTCAGCTAGTTATATATATAAAGAAGATACACACAACAAAGAACTCACCTGGCCTGCATAGTTTTGCCACCCTGCTTCTCAGCGGCTCTCACGCCTTCATTCACGATAGAATCCAATTCATTCAGCTGCTTACGAAGGTCTGACGCTAGGTTCAATGCCTGGTGGGAATAAAACCAACACATTCGTTTTAACTTTCTAAAATTGTATGCATTAACTTTAAGTTATTTATAATTTACATTTTTTATGCATGTAACTGCTCGATGTTACATGCATAAAAAATTACATGATGTTTAAATCTAAAGAAAATAGTACTAGAAAAAATTCCACGCGCACCAGATCGGACCACATTGTGGGTTACCTACAATGCGAGGAAATGGCGCTGCCTTGTAGCTTAAGAAAAGCTAGAAAGAATTCGACACGGCCATCAGGGCCGCAGTAGCATAATGGTCAGTGCATTCATCCGGATAGCGAAGTGCGCGGGTTCGAGTCCCGTCTGCTGCCTGGTCAACATTCAGTTAAGTTGAGTTACATAAATAAGAAACAAGACTGACAGGGAACTAAATAAAACAAAATCTTATATTGCGGCGGCGCCAATATTTCCGATTTCCAAAATCTGATTACCTGCCTACCCAAAAGCTTTTAAAGCTGCTTTTGAGCTCAGTCGCTACACTACAATAGGGTTCGAGTCCCGTCTGCTGCCTGGTCCGCGTGGGATTTTTTCTAGTCATATATTATTTTAAGTTATTTATTCTTGGAAGTAGACAGTATACTACTGGAACTGTTTACGCATATATATCTTTAAATATATAAAAATAAATAGTCGAAAAGTATGTACGCGCATAACTTTCGAAGGACTGAAACCACTTGGATAATATTTTATTGTGTTCATTATTGTCAGGACAAGGTTTGTGTAAAAACAAAGTTTTTAAAATCTCATAATATGAAAAGTGATTAATTGAATGTGACAGAACACAGTGAGATATCTTCAATACATGCAGCAGAATTTCGAAAATATTTACGAATACAAAATGTGTTGGTAAGAAGTTCGCCGTGTCAGCTAGTTTAAAATAAATGTTATAAGTAAAATTGTAGGTTCACGGACTCAATTATAAACAAATAAATATTATAAACCATATTTCTTATTTAGTTTGTTGCGCATTCACACCTAAGTCGTTGAACCAATTTCGACAACTTTTGAATAAAATAGACTTCAAAGATGAATATAAGCTACTTTTAGAAGCGAAATAAAACTTGAAAATTGTGAAAGTTTGTAGGGAAACTTTCACAATTTTCAAGTTTACTTATAAATGAACATATGTTTCACAAAAACCTTACTTATAACTTAACATATGGTCACTAAAATAATATACGTAATAAATAGACTGATATATATAAATAAACGCACCTTGGCGTCTCTCCCGTGGCCATATTGTCTCTCATCACATAAATGATCAGCGTTAATACCTCCAGACCTGTAAATAACAAGAGTAGTGAAATAGAGCTCAATTTTGTTCAAAAAGCGCAGCGAAAGAATGACGCTGAAAACATGTTTTCCCGAGCTTCTACAGATCCTAACATAACCGACCGTGCATTTGATTATTATAAATATTTTCTATTTAATTAGTTTATATTCAGTATAAGAACATTTGCTTCGTACCATAAGTATTTTTTTCACATTTTTTCGCTTGAATGTTGACTTTTCAGCGGTCCGCGCGAAGTGCTTGAATGGCGTTCAAGCACTTCTTGATAAGGGCACATTTTGAGCACTCGCGGTTGACTATAAGACAGAGACAGATGATCGTGTCCGCTAAATTTACCTGACTCTGGCCCGCACAGTGTCTGCGTGCGAGGGAGACAGATGATCGTGTCCGCTACATTTACCTGACTCTGGCCCGCACAGTGTCTGCGTGCGAGGGAGACAGATGATCGTGTCCGCTACATTTACCTGACTCTGGCCCGCACAGTGTCTGCGTGCGAGGGAGACAGATGATCGTGTCCGCTACATTTACCTGACTCTGGCCCGCACAGTGTCTGCGTGCGAGGGAGACAGATGATCGTGTCCGCTACATTTACCTGACTCTGGCCCGCACAGTGTCTGCGTGCGAGGGAGACAGATGATCGTGTCCGCTACATTTACCTGACTCTGGCCCGCACAGTGTCTGCGTGCGAGGGAGACAGATGATCGTGTCCGCTACATTTACCTGACTCTGGCCCGCACAGTGTCTGCGTGCGAGGGAGACAGATGATCGTGTCCGCTACATTTACCTGACTCTGGCCCGCACAGTGTCTGCGTGCGAGGGAGACAGATGATCGTGTCCGCTACATTTACCTGACTCTGGCCCGCACAGTGTCTGCGTGCGAGGGAGACAGATGATCGTGTCCGCTACATTTACCTGACTCTGGCCCGCACAGTGTCTGCGTGCGAGGGAGACAGATGATCGGCGGCGCGCTGCGCGGAAGTGAGAACGCTGCGGAGTGCTCTCTCTCCCGCGCTGTTGCGTAACGCCTCCGGATCCTGGGCAAACAGCATTCATTTGGAGACGATAAATAAATACATATATGTATACATATTAAAATAGTCTTTCAATAAAAGTCCTTATCAACGAACTTGAAGTGAGTGTGATAGTGAGTGAGTGAGGATAATAGAGAGAAAAATAGGTGAGATAATAGGTGACTCATTTCTTTGTCGTACTATTCGGAAGTGGAATTCTTTGTCCGCGCACGCGTTCCCTCCTTCCTACAATCTGGGGTCCTTTATGAGAGGCATGAAGAAGCATTTTTGCCTGCCGGCAAGGTGAGGATAGTTGGTGTGGCAGTTTATAACTGTCTATCTTCGCGTTTGGACTCTATCACCACTTAACATCAGGTGGGGTACAATCTACCTCGCTATAAAAAAAATATATATTTCTAATTAATGTGGACTTAAACATACTTTGACAATGCATGCTTTTATACTAATAATAATACTATAAATGCAAATTATTATATAACTACTCATTACCTCGTTACGATTAAACCACTTAACCGATTTAGATGAAATTTGGAATAGAGATAGTTTGAGTCCCGGGAAAGGACTTTAAGGCGATTAAGTGGAAGTTTGTATGTTTATATGGAAAAATAGTAAACCCACGCAGACGAACCGCGGAGGGACCGGACTAGAATAATTGCAAAGCTTATCATGTTGAAGCTTCATTCTATCTGTATATAAGTGCCTTTAAACAATTGACAAAGATAAAATAGTGTATTAAAAACAGATAACGCCTTAATTTCATTTAAGAATGATGGTGCAAGCGGCTCTTAATAATAACAGTCTTATTTTAATCTAACAATGGTGACGATTCTAGCCTGATTCTCTAAACATAAAACTAAATTTAACATCAATCTCTCCTTTTCATTATGTAAAGAGAATGACAAGGATACACTGTTGTCAAAATGAAGTTTAGGTTTAGAGAATCATGCCAGAATCGACATCACTAAATCACAGAACACTGAAAGATGTTGGAAGACTAATCAAAGACCGTTTGTACGGGAACCGACGTCGCCGGCTCGCCCTCACTAGTAGAACCCACTTTTCCACCTACAAGATAATAGCGAATCAAATGACGCTACACCTAACAGCCAAACCGAACAGCGCTCACACCCGAGAGCAACGACGCAATCAGAACCAATTTTTGGTCAAGTTATGAGCGTTTGCTCACACATAACTGTAGAGCGCCTGCCCCGATCTCTATTCGCTCTTCTAACCTTATCCTGTATTCTGTGCACTAGTCATTTTACTACAAACGTAAACAAAATATCACTATAAAATTTAAACCTTAATGCCTACAAAATAGAGTGTACTCACATTGAGAAACTCGTGCGCAGCTCCCATCTTGGAGTGTATTTGCGACTGCAGAGCTTTTAGGACGGCTATGTTGTCCTTCTCACCGCCGTCTTCTACGTAGGATGTTAGCTGAAGGACGCTAAAATGCGAAAGCAAATATTAATAAAAAACAAAAGTTTATAAAAATGAACAGACAGGTTCATGTCTGATATATCACATTTATATATATATATATATATATATTAGACTTAGGTATTCGGCCTATTCGGCTGCTTTTATTATATTCGGCCGAATACCGAATACTTATATAATATATTTTGTCATAGAGAAATAATTGGTAAAATGAAAAATTAAAATCGATTGACTACGTATATATTCATATTTTCATTTCTGTTCTATAATCATTTAAGTAGTCATTGGTACATAACACAGGTACATAATCATCTTCTGAATTGGATAAATGGAGGATTCTATGTATTTGAATTATTGTGGTAATCAAAATTTAGAAGGGTAAGGTTCTCATTTCTTTTATAATCATTTATTAAGTAGTCATTGGTACATAAAACAGGTATATAATTTAATCATTTTCTGTATTAAACAAGTTAACAGTTTTTAATTCATTCAGTCATGTAATTAATGGTTACATAATATAAATAATTTAAAGTTTACGCGCCGTTTTGGTCATATCTCAAAAGTTGGTTTTTGTCATTTAGCCGCATTTTAGCTTGAGGACGGCAGGTTAGAAGAAAACAAAGGAGCGCGAAGCAATCACGTCTGTACAAGTTTTTGGCGCTAAAATCCCACCGAATACTTTTGCCTAATATTCTGCTATTTGGTCAGGGGCCTCGCCGAATCTTCAGTATTCAGTATACTGCCGTATATACTATTCGTTGCAAGTCTAATATATATATATGTATATATATATATATATAGCCAGATAGGCAAATGGCCCTTTTTTTTTTGTTGACGATGGAAAATGCATTTACGCACCGTTCCGCGCGCTGGCTGGGCGCGCGGCGTGTGTGGGACTCCCCGGCGCGGAACAACGCCGGTCCTACCCACTAAAACCCACCGGTACCCTCCTACGCCCCCAGGTAGGCAAATGGCCCTACCCCACCTGATGTTAAGTGGTGATAAAGTACAAACGCGAAGATAGTAAGATAAAGATCACATATTATTATGAGGAGCTGGCGAACAAATTATATAAAATTAAATTTTACAGGAGCCGTACTAAACTTATTGACATTCCTCCAGTGAGCTTTTGACGTGGTTATTAATTTATAAATTAAGTAATTTTAACACAGTTTTAGGCGGTTTTGAATGAAAATTATTTGGGGTTCAAATTCAACGGGCCCGAAACCTCCAGACTGTAAAAAAAGTAGTTTCACCAGATGCGTAATTATACCATTCTGTTCGCCAGTTCCACATAATTATGATACTGGAAAATTTATGTACTAATACTGGCAGGTGGCTAGCGCATTCGACTTGCGATCGTGATAGTTACGCAACAATTTCACAATGGTCGGTCATTGAATGGGTGACCAAAAATTTATTATCTCGAGCACTGCCGTGCTTCGGTAGGCAAGTGCACGGCTGCTTCTGCAGTCATTAGCACCCACCGAGCCCCATTGGACCCGCGTGGTGGTTCACGGCCCAATCTTCCTATTAAATCCATAGGGGAGACCCGTGCCGCAGCGGTGGTGACATTAATAGGTGGATGATGATGATGATGAAGAAAATCAAAATCAGCTTAATGCAACTACATAAATACCACCTACAAAGAGTTTGTGAATTGTGACGTTGTAGTGGCGTAATCTCTAGACCTACTGAACCAATTTTGAAAATTCTATTACCTATAGAGAGCCACATGATTTTTGAGTGTCATAGGCTATATATCAAGCCAAAATATCAAAAGATTTTAACGCGAGCGAAGTTGCGGGCGGTCGCTAGTTATCAATAAAGTCTTATTGTTTTAAACTTTCATGGTCACTGACGTTATAGTTAGTCATTTACGGGATTGTTACCATGTACCTTGATTTTAGCGAGTGTCTGGAATCCTGTAGTTGTGTAAAAACCGGAATAATCAAAAAAGTGAAGTGTCGCAACCCGATACTGTAAGTGTTTATTGTGTGTCGAGAACATTTTCGAGTAAATAGTAAGAATGTGAACAGTGGTACGGGTATCGAACGCAATAAAAGACTTCGTCGGAGGGTAGACCGATATGTCTGCCAATAACAGCCTACCCGCAATTACTTCAGTTACTCCGTGATAATGGCGTTTGCAACAGTGCCCAAATATCGGAAACTCGCTGAAAACAAGGTGCATGGTAGCAATCCCGTAAATAACATCAATAAAATTGTACTTAAACTCACCGAATAATCTCGTGGATTTCATCCGCCATCTTTTGCGCGAGGTAGTTTCTGTTTTCGCCTGCTTCTTCTATACCCTTGCCACCTAAGAAACGAATACTCACTATTGTATTATGATCTCTAATTCTATAAATAATAAAGGAGACGGTTTAAAGTGATAATAGATTTCTGACAAGAAGCTTATATACAACACTGGAGATTGCATGTAGAACTTCTGTATGAAGATGAGTTCATTAACCCCATGATATGTTTTTTATCTCTCTCACACACTATCTAAAATTACCATGTTAAATACAAGAAATTCCAATCACAAAGTGAAAATAAACAGAACTATGCAAGATATCAATCAGTTTTACAATCTCCAGAAGTCCTACTCTTGTATTACTATTATAAGATGAGTGTGACAAATTCTAACCAACTACTTTGAAATCAATATTTAAAACTGAATAATAAATACGCCCTTTATTTCCCTGTTTGCTGGTTGCTACCATTTTGGTATAATAGCAACACTAATTAAAAAATCAACTGAAGAATATCTCCGATCTGTCAAAAAAAATCTACCGCTTCGAATGTTTAGATTATTATTAAAAAGTGTTAAATTGTTCAATTTGCTATTTATAATATGTATGGTGTTGTGCGAGATTGCAGAAGTGTTTGGGAACCAAATTCCAGAACTAAATTTCACAGTTAAGTCTATTACATTACGCCAATACCGAAATAAACATATTCCTATATTTTTATGTTGTAATCATAATAAAACGTTAGTATTTATAAATCATAGTGTCCTGAGGCTATAAATTAACGTTATTCTTGTTTTATTCACTACATTTCGTACCATATTCAGCAGTTTATTAAATTAAAATAATATAAATTTTGGTTTTGTAGGGTAACCATTATCACTACACTTGAGATATTTTGAGAAAGTTAAAATACATAAGTATTATTGTAAATATTAATTACAAAGTTCAAAATATGAAAATAAGTTTATAATAAATACTGTAGTAGATCATGTTGATTAGATGTAGAAAACCTATTTAATAACAGCTATCTAGCAGCGGTCTTATACATTTGTTTATGTTTCAGCTTCCAGAAAGATGTCATTTAAAGAAATTCTTGGTTGTCCATTATACTGTCACAAACGCTATCGAAACGGAACCGCGAATGTGCTAGAGATCGAATTTGCCAGAGCACCGCGAGTCGCAATAGAAGTCGAGTAAGGCGGCTCATTCTAGAATGAGCCTTATGCAGTGCGTCGTAAAGGAGAAAGTGCAACGATATCTGCACTTGTTTACAAGTTATGCGTGTTACTTGCGTAGGTATAAGTAGGTATTTCGTACTCGCGGGTGCTAGGTAATTCTCAATTTAACAGGTACTTTCTAGAACTTCGACTTTCGACGACGTCCGTGGTCGAGTGGTTTGTACGCCGGGTTTTATGGTGTCGCCGATTCGAGAGGTCCCGGGTTCAAATCCCGATGGGGACAGATGTTTGTGTGATGAATACGAGCATTTGTACTCCAGTCATGGATGTTTAATATGTATTTCTATAAAAAAAAATATACTTATATATGTACAGTTTATGTATTCTATCCGTTACCCTAGTGTTCATGCCAACCTTAGGCATTCATAGTTCATAGATTTAACTTTTCATTTTCTACCCACTTTTAGTTTATAAGAGTTACCGCTCGATATATCGCTGCATTCTACAGTCTACGAATTGACGGCGACTCAACCAGATGCGTACTCGCTAATCCTGGTTTTCCCGCTTTCTGGAACTTTCTATATTCGAAAGACTGCTATTCTTAGGGTTTATACTCTTTATGAACCTACCGCTCGTGCTGTGAACATAGTGCTGTGTTTTTCAGTGCTTAAAACATACGCTGTTGTGAAGTGAACGCTTAATTATCCGCTGTCTTGGCTGATATTAGCCGAGGCTGGTCCTTCATTATCTCGCTAAATCGTCGTGGGCTGTTGAGGCTGAGGAAGAAGTCTGCAGTGACATTACCCGGGTAGTGCCGGGTCAGTGCGGTTGCTGAAGGTGAGTTGCTGTTTTACTTTCGTGGTAGTAGTGTGCAGCGATTCCCGTAGGATATCTATCTCCTCTTCAACAGATAAGTAAACTTATACTACCTATGGTGATACCCAAATTAGTGCTGGGTAGAATCTACGAACCTTATTGCTAGGTTTAGCGCCCACATAATTTTTGGTCCTTCGAGCCGGATTCATTGAACCCATTTTATAAATTTATACTATCGCGTACGCTTCAAATAACGTATTTGGTATTTTATAATTAAATAGGGATAATATTTACATATTTCTTTATATACTTTATATCTTATAACATAAAAGGTAGATTGTAAATTTATTACTACGCCACCGAACGTGATTCTTGCTTCTATCGTTGTGCTCTGTTGCGGACAGTTCCTAAATTGGCCGTTTACTCTTTTGCCTAATTTTATTTCAATTATATTTTATAATGCCTCCTGGTAGTGCTAGTGGTTTAAAAGGAAATGACAAGTTGGAAATTGACTTAAAGAAATATAACGCAAAGCGTAACAATTTGTTTTCCCGCTTACAAAAAATTTATAGTGAGGCTAAGCACGCATTTTCTGATGAATCATCTACGGAAATATTTCTTGCTAGTTGTGAGTCTTTAGAAAATTTACGTTCAGATTTTAGGGAAATTACTGATCAAGTTATTGATATTGAACTTCAATTAAAGCCTGATTCTGAACCTAATTATCAGAGCGTTAATGCATTTGACGAGCTTTATTGCTTCTGTAAGCGCACTTTAACTAAGTTGTCTGTTTCGGCGGCAACAACAATCAAGTCAGATACTTTGGATGCAAAAAATACTTGCTATAAAAGTCCAACTGTAAAATTGCCAAAACTGGATTTGATAGGATTTTCAGGTGACCCCATTAAATGGCCTATGTTCTACGAATCATTTAAAAATACGATTCACGATAACTCTGATTTATCTGACCATGAACGTATGCAATATTTGATTAGTAAGTTGTCTGGCCGGGCACTTTCAGTTTGTGCGGGAATCACACCGAACGCTACTAACTACAACACAATATGGCGGACGCTAGTCGACAAATATGAAGACAAACGATGTCTCGCCTCCGCGTATTTAGATGAAATGCTTACTTTTAAATGTTTTAATTCCGCAAGCGCTAAACATTTTGAATTATTTTTAGAAAAATTTTGCGGTGCTGTTTCCAGTCTTAAATCTCTGAATTTAAATAACTTATCAGATTTTATTTTATTTTACCTTGCATTTAAAAAACTTGATACGGACACGGCTCGTCAATTTGAAATGCATAAACGTGACTCTTCTTTTCCTTCATACGATGATTTGGTTGCCTTTGTACGCGAACAATGTAAGGTACTAGATCGCACTACTCCCATAAATCCCGCTACAACTAAACAGAATTCGTATCAGATTCGTAATAAGCCCACCCACGCATTAGTAGCCGCTACTCATACTGATTGATATGCAAAATAAGTATTATACCCAATGTGCCTTTTGTAAACATAATTCTCACAATAAATTATTTCTTTGTACGGCATTTAAAAATTTATCAATAGAAGACCGCTATAACTATATTAAATCTAACAATGGATGTACCAATTGTTTAAGCTTATCTCATTTAATTTCAAAGTGTAATTCAATTAGTCGTTGTCGAAATTGTGCATCAAAACATCACACGCTGCTATGCTATAAAGGAGCCCCGTTCGGCGGTGCGCCGTCGCACCACGCGCGGCCGCAGCTGGCCCCGCGCGCTGGCATTAATCATGATGGCGGCTCCCGTGAACGCACGCGCGCCTCCGCCGCTACTCCTTGCACGTCTGAGACCGTGCGCCAGTTACCTGTCGCTGAGCGAGATAACGCAAACTCACAAAATATTTCCTTGTGTAATATGTCGCCGCCGCTTTGTAAGAATGATACTACTTGTTTACTCGGTACAGTCAAGGCATTCGCGGCGGATTCACGCGGCAATTTAAATTGCGTTCGTGCAATTGTTGATCCTGGTTCTCAGTCAAACTTCATAACTACAAAATGTTGTCATACCTTAAATTTGCCTTTTAATAAATTACCGCGTGCTGTGGTCAAAGGCATTGGCTCGTCTCCTAATCCAATTAAAGGGGCAACCAAAGTAGTTTTATATTCTCGTTTTGATAACATATCAATATCGTTAGATGTGTGTGTTATTGACCGCATTACAGATGATTTACCCACTGTTAATATTGATAAAACTTTATTTTCTTATTTACAAAATATTCGTCTCGCTGATGATGAGTTTCATTCTCCCGGTGAGATTGATATTCTCATAGGGGCCTCGTTCTTTGCCGATATTTTACTTCAAGGTCGTGTAACCGGACCACCGGACATGCCTACCGCTTTCGATACAATATTTGGTTATATGATTTTAGGTAACACTTACACACTATCTACCGCTCATAATAATTCTATTTCTTTAACAGCTATGATACAACTTGATTCTCATTTAGATACAACCTTACAAAAGTTTTGGCAGCTCGAAGAGATATTGCCTTGTCAATCCATGTTGAGTCCAGCTGAAAAAGAGTGCGAAACTATTTTTGTTAATAATACTGTGCGCGATAGTACAGGCCGCTATACAGTCGCGTTACCTTTCGCGGATGATCCTTCCACCTTGGGTGATTCATATCGTATCGCTAAAAATAGATTTCTTTCACTGGAACGCAAGCTTAATGCTTGTGTTGAACTACGCCAAGAATATAACAATATTATACGCGAATATATTGATAAAAATTATATTACTCGCTTGAACGATCCTGCTGATCATTCAGGTTATTTTATACCGCATCATGCTGTCGTACGACATGATAAAACGACCACAAAAATACGCATGGTGATGGACGCAAGCGCGAAAACAGACTCGAATGTCTCGTTGAATGAAGTTTTGCATTCCGGATTTAACTTACAGAATAACTTATTGTCTATATTAATTGATTTTCGTTTATATAAAATAGCTTTTACTTCAGACATAAAACAAATGTATTTGCAGATTTTAGTTAGTGAAAATTATCGTAAATATA